CAGCTCACAGCAACATCAAACTCTTGGGCTTAAACGATTCTCTGCCCCAGCCTCCCATGTAGCTGGGACCACAGGTACCCACCACAAGGCTCAGCCGTATGTTTGTTGTTGTTCTTGTCATTGTCACTGTTGTTTGGCAGGGCTGGGCTGGATTCGAACCTGCCAGCTCCCATGTATGTGGCTGGTGCCTTAGCCACTGAGCTATAGGCACCAAGCCTGGATAATTTTTTTTAAATCAGGGTTCTGATAGGAAAGGAAAAGGGTGGGCAATCAATAATAACCTACTAACTACATTTGCCTAGATCAGAATCTTTTTTTTTTTTTGGCCGGGGCTGGGTTTGAACCTGCCACCTCCAGCTTATGGGGCTGGCACCTTACTCCTTTGAGCCACAGGCACTGCCCTAGATCAGAATCTTTTAAGCTTTCAAACTTTTTGAAATATGCAGATGCCTAAGTCCCAACTTTGTAGGCTTTGATTCAGCATGTTTGGGATTTGGTGTAGATACCTAATATAGATGTCATAGAATGTTTTGATGTAATCAGAACTGAGAATTACTGAATTTGATGACAATGATTTGGATTATTAGTTGTGTGATTTGTCCAAAACAAATGTTTGATCTGATCCTAGTCTTTCTTGACACCCAGTGTCTTTGGTTTTTGACTATCAGAAAATCAGTTTTAATTTATACCTATGTCTAAACCTTGACCTAATTAAAGTTTTCCCCACTAAATATTTTTTTTTAACCTATCCCCTTTTTAAAACATTTTTTTAAAAAAATGAATAAATGAGAGATCCTGATGTCATTGAAAACAGTGAGTTGCTGTGTGGGGTCTGTATTAATAGTTTTGCCCCTAGTTATTATATTGTAATGTCACCAAAGAAAGATAATATATTTACTGAACACAAATGTACCCATCTAAAGCACTCTCTGAATACATCAATTTGGTGCATTTTAATTATGAGGAACATAATCGTCCCTATTGAAGATAATCCATCCACTTAAATCCTATGTTTGGAGTTGGATTAATTTCAGGTATGAAAAGCAAATTATGTTAGATAAGAAAGGAAAGTATATACAAAACTGAATTTCCTAGGCATTTTTAGAAAGAGATAATGAAATTAGGTCAACAAAGGTGAAAGAAAGAGTCGCTTAAAAAAAGAATTGTTTAAGCATATTATGTAGAGTTAATTGACAGATTTTTATCTTTGGTTGCTTCCTTGGCTCAGCAAAGAACTTTAATGATTCCTTTTCCTTCAAGAAAAAGATAAAATCCCTCTTAGTTTACACAGTATTTATAGTCAGCTTATAATAAATCTGTAGTTTTTTTCTTTGTTTCTTAATCAGTAAGAGAGAATCGGTACAAAGTATAAATAAATCCAGAGTCATATAGAAAATTTGAAAGTAAAAGAGATTAGTTTGCCCACTGTGGATGTCTACTGTAATTAAGTTGTTCAGTGGGGAAGTAAACTGAAGAACCTTATGCTAGTTAAATAACCTTTATGAAATTTGCTTTCATCTTTAAGGTAGAACTAATAGTATACTTCATAAAAGATAGTTGAGGACTATAAAAGGCAAGGGACAATTCAAGGCCAGGTACATAGTTGATGGTTGGTGCTAGTTATTCCATTTAGTAATACTCATTCTTTGCTGAGAAATTTGAAGTAGCTCTGATTGCAAACTTGTAATACAGTAGAATCTATTGTTGATGACCTCCCTGCATTGACCACCTCCTTGAATTGACCTCATCTTCATAGACCAAACATGCACATGTATATATCAGTAGAGTACTTCCTTATGTATCCACCACCTCCAGATGTTGACCAGTTTGTTACAGTCCCTTGGTTGGTCAACTTACTATTTTTAGAAAACTAAAAATGAGGGTGATGCCTGTGGCTCAGTGAGTAGGGTGCCAGATCCACATACTGAGGACGGTGGGTTGAAACTCCGCCCCAGCCAAACTGCAACAAAAAATAGATGGGCATTGTGGCAGGCACCTGTAGTCCCAGCTACTCCGGAGGCTGAGACAAGAGAATTGCCTAAGCCTGGGAGTTGGAGGTTGCTGTGAGCTGTGATGCCACAGCACTCTACCAAGGGCAATAAAGTGAGACTCTGTATCTTAAAAAAAAAAAAGAAAAGAAAAAACTAAAAATGTACCCTTTGAGAAGCTTTAAAATTATCTCCCTGGCTATAATTTTTAATATTAAGAGTTTATGTAGTTTAGACACAAGATACTTAAAATTCTTTTGCTTACTGGGTTAAGACCAAATGAGATGTTTATTTTTAATGTATAAAATATTATATAGTGTATATGTTCTCAGAAATTCCAAATCTTAAAAATTCTTTTTGCCAGAAGGAACTTTAGAAACCATGTAATCAACCCAGATTGCTCAAATGAGTGTCTGGGTTCACAAAGCTGTGGGAGACAGAACCTGAGATTACAGCTGCGGTGACCAATAAGTCTCCATTCTTTCTCCCTTGTGAGGAGCACATCTCAAATACTTCTGAATAGATTAGCTTTTCTTTGGCTAAAGTGTGGGGGCTTGACCTGATGTACAAAGGCATTTTCTCCTTTGCCAATGACACTTCTCATTGCATTGCTTGCTACATAGACAAAATTCAAAGAAAATTGTGAACAGGTAGTAGTTAACAAATGGAATACTATGCAGTCAGAGAATGAGGCAAACTATGCAGAGATTGAGGCAAAAGTGTATGTACAGGCAGAGGATTTTTCCAATGTAATTTCATAGGTCTGAAACTACACTGCCCTTGTGTAAAAGTATGCTGTATGTAAACATTTATTTGCACATGTACAGAATTATCTCTGCAAGGATGCACAAGAAACCAGTGATAGTGGCTGACTCTGAGAAGAGGCTAAACAAGTAGATGGGCAGATTGGAACTGCAGTTTGTAGTATTTGAATTTTTGTTCACCATGTCCTTTCAAAATATTTTTAAAATACCATGTGTAGTATGTAATTATTAGCTTTTCATGAACATTAAAAGTATAGCAGAACCTCTGTAAGTTGATCACCCACAGGACTGTAACAAATCGGTCAGTGTACATAAGAACTAGATATACTGGACAGGTGAATGTGAATGTCCAGTTTATGAGGTTAGCTCAACTTGAGGTGGCCAACTATGAAGGTTCTACTCTATTTCTTCAGATATATGAGTATATTGGAATCCTATTTACTGTTAGTTTTCTTCTGACTTTTTTTTTTCTTGGAGTCTCATTCTGTCCCCCAGGCTAAGGTACCATGGTGTCCTGGCTCACAGCAACCTCAAACTCCTGGGCTCAAACGATTCTCTTGCCTCAGCCTCCCCAAGTGGCCCACCACAACACCCAACTAGGATTGGCATTCTCCTTATTCACTAATTTCAAACTTCCACTTTCATGAAATATCAAATTGAGAAGGGAAACAAAGTCAATAAGACTTAATTTGTATTCTTCATCCTTTTGAATAGCAGCTATGTGAACATTTAGAAAGAATCTTAGTAAAGAGGCTTTTCTATCACCTATCAACAGCTGCCAACAGACATCAAAGCAGAATCTAAGAAGTAGACAAAAAGAAAAAAAAATACACAGGCAGCTGGAAGGCAGGTCTGGATGGAATTAGAACTGTGCTACTGTGACTCTTCTCTCAACATTAAAAAACAGATGCAGTCAGGAGGAACTAACAGATTGGCAGTCATCCACACATCTCCAGAGTTAACCTTAGTCTTGTATCAAGCACACAAGGCGTGTGGGTGTCTTAAATATACCTAGTTGTATTCTTTTGAAGTTTATTTATTAATTGGGATACTAAAATGACCACCTAAGTGACTGTCTATCTTTACTAGAGCTGCTAGTTCTCTCTGCCTTTGTAAAGAACAAAGAGTTTATGGGTGAAGTCTAACAGATCTTATCCTCTAGTGTATGTTCCTCCTAAAGTCCTCAAAATGAAATAAAACAGAGTAGCTCTTTAATGAATACTACTTTTTATTTCATATTTTACCTCTTAAGCTTTAGTATGTTATAAATTTCCATATTAACATGCTAGGACTTTGTCCTGTATCCTCATTGCCTAGACCCTCCTTACCTTTGGTGGGCGTTTAGATATTTATTACATGAATGAGACAAAAATAGATGACACCATATTCTAACCAAGTCTCTTTTAAGGAGCTAAAGGAATACCTGAGATGATTAGCATGGAAAAACTAGAATATAACTTGTTAGAGATTTTATTCTCTAGGAAATCCAACAGAAGAAATGCATATCTGAAAGGGGAGAGAGATGTATATTTAAAGATGACATTCTAAGTTGTTCACCTGAAAAACATGGAAGTTAATGAAAAGAGATAGTATAAGTCCTCACTTAAGGTTAATAGGTTCCTGGAAACTGACTTAAAGAAAAAAGACATACAAGTTCTTGCATGACATCATTTTGTTCACTGTTGTTTAGTTACAACATTGATAAGGGAAACAACTGTTTTAATTATACATCATTCTCTTAAGGTTACAATTTCCAAGAATCTACTCATGAGGTTTAAACCCAAAGGAGCAAAATGGAGAGAAACAGCTTCCTTTCAAATAATGATCTGAAGATTTAACAATGCTAATAATATAAAGCACATCCAAATTTACTGGAATATTAATTTTAATACAGTTATACATTCATGCTGTGGTGATAACTTTATTATTTGTATAACTATGTTTCTCAACTGACTCATGACAAAAGGCACAATCCAGAAGGAGACACCAACATTTACAATAACAGTTTTAAACAAATGTGGAGAAAGGACCAATTTGAAGTATTGAACAGGAAACATCTGAATATGGATCAACTTGGATAAATTTTCATTCCAGAAGATATTTTTACTTTTCAACATTGTTTCATCTTGCTCTGATGGCAGTTCCAGGTGCCCAGTGAGTTATTCTTAATATCCATTCAGCATAACAAGCATTTACATGGCTGAATTGCTAGGGAACTCTGATTTTTTTTACATGAATTCTTCGGCTAAAAAGTCTGTCTTTTCCATTTCAGTTTATCCTGTGAAAATAAAAGTTTATGGCCTTCCCCCTTTACAGCATTCAGTAACTCAGCTATTTTACATGAGATACACAAATTGAAAAATACCATCCGATCCCGATCATGTGCTTCAAGGCAAGCTAATATGCAAACTGTTAGAATCTACCTATCTTGTTTCCCTGAGAGGAATTTTTGGTCTCAAACAGCAGGTATTTAAAGAAAATGAAGCAATATAAAACTACTTTGTCTTACAAAAAAAAAAAAAGAACCAAATATTTAGAGATACAATTCTGTGGTTTATAGAATTAAGTGTTAAAACACCAAAAGGGACGTTATTTTTAAGCATTTGCTAAGTGAGATCCTTTCTCATGAAACTCTGAATATTTGGAATGTATTTATAGAGTCATTACAATATAATTCAGGAAAGAAATCAAGAAATTGACTTTTTTTTATTCTATGTGGCTTTATAAATTTAGGTCTTCTGGATCATTAAGATACTAAGCTTCAATGTCTTATTTTTTTCAGTCCTAAAGCAGCATGTTACTCCCCTGCTTAGCTATGTCATGACCTGCCAAAGCTAAGTATTAATAAAGTGACTGCTCATCTTTTACTGTAAACACACAACTATGTTTCATGTTGGTTGACATTCATTAGATATTGGTTTCTCAAAATGTATTTATGTAGGTCAGGAAAAATGGGCAGAAGGAAACTTCACCCAAATTATGTAGCAGTGTTAAGCAAATTCAGTTTGTGAGCCAAAATTAAATCATTTGGGTCTTCAAACTTTCCCTTGTAACTTTTCTTTTAGCAATATGATTTTGCATTTTGGCCAAAGAGAGCTGTTTTCTTCTGGCAGACGAAATCATGCTTCTGGAGAAACATTGCCTTAGAACTATGAATCTGTTTCCTTTTCAATAGAGCACTAACCAATACAGCATTATATATTTATTTATCTAAGCTGATCTCTTTAAAAAGACTGATATAATGAAAAACTTGAAATTTGCTCTGTAGTACATTTTGATCCAATGTGCATAATTACACTCAATTTAAGCCAACTTTCCAAAACAACTGGTTTTTGGCCAAGATTTAAGAAACCCCAAAATGTCTTACCCAAAATAATCAATTAAAACTGTCAATTAAAAATTATGCCACAGTGCTTAAATGTAATTTATCTAAGAGATGGGGTCTCACTGTGCTGCCCAGGCTGTAGGGTAGTGGCTATTCACAGGCACAATCCTTGCACACTATAGTCTCAACTCCTTAGCTCAAGCAATCCTCTTGCTCCCAAGTTTGCAGGGATTGCAAGCATATGCTACCACACCAGCTATATTTTTAAAAACCAGCTTTACACTACTGGACATTCTTGAATATTTGTAAACAAATATATTTTGACTCTCAAGAAAAAAGTACTTGAAAAAATAAGTTTAGAAACTAAGAGGCAGAGTACAGTTACTGCAAAAAGATGAAAAACACTGTGTCTTTACTTTGAAAAAAAATGAAGTGTTTCCATTCAAGTTTTGAGTGCCCAATAGCTAACCATGGTTAAAAGGTCATTAAAATTAGTTTAAAACATTACTCAGAAAATTAACTTCCAACAAAAACAATTTTAGTTACCTTTTATAAGAATTGTATAACTTTCACTTTTAATGGTTTTATATCTCATTAGATTATCACAAACCATCTTGTTAGATTTCTAATTAATTCTAACCAAATCCAAATTAAAAACTGTTCACATTCCCAAGAATACCACTGCACATTACACTCATATTTTAGGAATGTATGCCTCACCCATATCCCCCAAACTGACAATGCATCTATGAATTACATCTCATTACTTGAATGTATAGCACGCAAAGTACTTATGTTCTTCTACTGAACAAGTACATTAATATTCTTGCAATCTCAAAATACTTCGTGAACTCTGAAGTGATTTTCTATAGAAGGAGATTCCTTTGTAAAATGAATTTGGCTAGTCACCTGCATACCAAAATCCCCAAGTATCTGAACAAATTTCTTGTGCTCCTTTCCAATCCAAGATCTCATTGGATCACGTACTTGGTAGGGTGTTACATGGGTGTGAACAATAATCCCTGTTTGGGCAAATTCTTTCAAGACTTCTGGATGAGTAACCCAAGTATTGCTTCCTCCAGAATGACCACCATCTAGCCAGTACATTGTTCTTATGTTTTTGATAAAAGCATCTATGTTCTTGTCTTTCTTGGCTTCTTTCAATTCAAAAAGCAACTGATTCAAAACAACACAACCTTTACTGAATCCAATCAAAGTAAAAGATGCATCATTTAGTGATGGTGGATAAAAACTCATGGCAGACTCATCAAATTTTTCACAGGTCCTCTCCTTTTCTTCCTGGCAACCATTTGTAGTATGAGAGGAATTGGACCTACAATTAGCTGCTGTGGCGTCTTTATTCCAAATACTTGTCATTTTCTTGGATAAACTATTCTGACTTAAATTAAAAGCATTAACTAATAACATATAAAGGTGCTTAAAAGCTCCAAAGTCAGTAGTGTGTTCTGGAGCACCAAACATGTTGCTTTTCACAAAATTGTCATAGCAGCTGAATTTGTGCAAATGCATTCGAGAACACTTTATCACCCAAATATAGCTACTGGGGAACCGGTGGGCTAAAATGGTGGCAACATTTTCTAGACTCCAGTTTTCCCACTGATAATTCTCAGGATGACGAGTCATAATTTCATGGTAATTCTGAAAGGTAAGAGAGATGAATAAGCATTAAATACATATTGAAATAAGACTATTTCTACAAAATAGTTTCCCATTTTTATTATGGAGGAAATTAAGATGTTATAATGACCTATGGTTAATGTACTACAGGGGTCCTCAAACTTTTTAAACAGGGGGGCCAGTTCACTGTCCCTCAGACCGACTGCGGGCTCCGGGACAAGTTGGCTGCTAAGCAGGACAGGCTGTGGCGGCAAAAACACCCGGCGGGCCGGATAAATGTCCTCAGCAGGCCATATGTGGCCCACAGGCCGCAGTTTGAGGATGCCTAATGTACTAGATATGAAAGCTTAGAAGATTTTGAACAAATCATGTCTTCAATTTAAGCACCAAATGTATCAAGATACAGGGAAATAAAACATTCCTACATAAGACACTAAGAATTTTTAAAATAAAGCAATTTAGAAGGATTATTGACATGTTTAATAAATGTTATTTAGTATGTACGTGTGACTGATTTTCCTAACACATCAACTGAAAATATAAATTTGGGGCCATTATAAAGACTTTTTTTTTTGAGACAGAGTCTCACTTTCTTGCCCTGGTAGAGTGCTGTGGCGTCATAGTTCACAGCAACTTCAAACTCTTGGGCTAAAGCGATCCTCTTGCCTCAGCCTCCCATGTAGCAGAAACTATAGGCACCCACTACAATGCCCAGCTGTTTTTGGACAGCTCTTGCTCAGGCTAGTCTCAAATTCCTGAGCTCAGGCAATCCACCCTCATCGGCCTCCCAGAGTGCTAGGATTACAGGAGTGAGCCACCATGCCTGGCAATAAACACTTTTTAAGCAACAGAATTTTAAATTTTCCTTAGCTGCCATCCTGCAATCCTCCCTCCCTCTTTGGATTGCTTTAGCAACATGAACAGTATGTATGATTTCAATTCTAGTATTACAACCAAACTGAAATAAACAGTACAGAAAAGTCTTTGTACATACTGGTGATTATATCCTTAACAATAAATTCCTATGGTTATGTGGTGGCTCAGGGCTGTAATCCTAGCACTCTGGGAGGCTGAGGTGGGGGAATCACTTGAGCTCAGGAGTTAAATAGCCAAAGCAAGAGAATGAGACCATCTCTATAAAAACAGAAAACTTAGCTAGGCACTGTAGCAGCTACCTATAGTCCCATCACTTAAGAGCCTGAGGCAGGAGGATCACTTGAACACAGAAGTTTGAGGTTGCTGTGAGCTAGACTGACACCATAGCACTCTAGCCTGGGCAACAAGAATGAGACTGTCAATCAAACAAACAAATTCAGGGAAAAACTAGGTCAAAGAATATTCATAATTTAAGATTGGTGATGGAAACCACAAAACTGATTCTCAGAGAGGTATGTATAATTTTTTATTTTCATAGGTATATGAAATTTGCTGATTCATTCAAATCTGAATTTATTGAAAACTAGGATGAAGTTGAAATTTTGTAAATATGCTTACTAGCCAACTGGTTTTCTACTCTTGCCTGTTCATAACCTTTGCCCTTTTGTACTGGGATCTTATTTATAAGCACTCTCTCTATATAAACAAATTTTTTTAGTTACTAAGACATACATATAAATTTTGTTTTCCTTTTAATTCATAGTGGCTTTAAGAGGAGGCAATTCATGAAAATTTATTCCATACACCTCTTTGCCTTTTCCTTATTGTGACAATCGGGGTCCGTTTGCTGTCTATGGCAAATGTATCTTGCTCTATAAGCCTTTTCTTACTCTTACTCTAAACCTATCCTTATCTTTTTCAATAAACTTTTGCTTCATGCTTCCATAAAAAAAATTCTACTGGATGCCAATTGATTGGGCAGATAATAAAACAGACTAAAACTCTACACACATAGAGCATATTCATTTTTAAGGGCCTAGTGGCACATTTGCTCAAGACTGAAGCTAAGATAGGAGGATCACTTGAGGCCAGGAGTTCAAAACTAGCTTGTGAAACAAAGCAAGACCCTGGCTATACACTCAGCCAACCAATGAATCAATAAAAATGGCCAGGCATAGTGGTATGCACCTGTAGTTCCAACTACTCAGGAGGCTAAGGCAGAAGTATTGCTTGACCTCAGGAGTTTGAGGCTGTAATAAGCTATGATCATGCCACTGGTCACTGTACTCCAGCCTAGGGAGGTAAAAGGGTGTGTGGTGTATATGGGAGGAGGGTCTAGAGCAGAAACACAGTAAATTCTATAAGTACACACAGCAGCACTATTTGACAAATATAACTGAACCACATGTAAAATTTTCTAATAGCCACATTAAAACAAAGGAAAAAGTTACCTGGTAAAATTAATTTTAATATCTTTTATTAAGTCACATATATTCAAAATATTTCAACATGTAACCAAAATTAAAAATCATTGAGAGATTATCATACTGCTTTCTTACTAATTCCTTGAAACTCAGTGTGCATTCACTTACAGAACATCTCAATTTTGATGCTAATTTTTTGCTGGAAATACTTGATCTGCATTTAGCTTTCATTAAATTTATAGTTGAAAATGTACATTTACATACACAAGTTGTTCTAAATATACTTAAAAGTTTTCCAGGAACTGAACTGAGTATCAGTTTTTAAACTTAAATTTAAACTAACTAAAATTAAATACAATTAAAAATTTAGCTCCTTAATTGGACTAACAATATTTTTTTGAAAGGCTAGTCAAGTGAAGCCTGAGACTAACATTTTTAAGCGGTCAATAACCACAAGTTGTTAGTGGCTCCCACACTGGGCAGCTCAAAACATAAATTAGATGGTGGTTAAGTACAATGGAATACAATAAATAAATCAGGGTAAAAGAAGTGTAAGGTTCTGGAAAGTGGAAAATTACTATTTAACACAGAATGGTAAGAAAAGGCTTCTCCAATAAAGTGTTAGTTAAGAAGGACCCAAAGGAACTAAGGGAGTGAGCAATGTGGACATTTCCAAGCAGAAGGAACTGGAAGCCTCCTGGACATAACCAACATACACCAAAGAGGCCGGTGTGCCTCTAGTGGAATGAATGGAGCAAAAGTGATCATAAAGGATTGCAGAGAGATTGTTGGGGAGAGGTGTTGATTAAGCTTTGTTGGACACCATGAGGACTTCAGCTTTCACTGGAAAGGGTTTGGAGCATTGGGCTAATAGGTGTTTTGAAAGGATTACTCTGACTCCAATGTGTGCAGGGGCAATAGCTGATGCAGGGAGAACAGTAAGAAGTTACTGAAACATAATTCCAATGAGAGGAAAAGGTGGCTAGGACCACAGTTAAGTAGCAGAAGTGGAGATGCTAAGAAGTGGTTAGATTCTGATACATTTCAGAGGTACAGACAACAGCGTTTACTAAAGGACTGGATACAATGTGAAAGAAAGAAAAATAATGTTGTGAGTTTTCCTTATTTCCAACAGTAACAAACTATATCAGTTTTAAATGCACCACTCTTTTGACTTAATAATTCCCCTTCTAGGTATTTTATCTCACTGATATAATGGGATATATGCACTAATAAATATGTGTAAGAGTATTTCTGATTCAAAAGAAAGGAGGCAGCTCTGAGTACTCATATGGGTTGTAAATAAGGGCTGAAAATTCAATATGCTATGCTACATTTGTGTTGGAAAAAATTATTTTGCATATGCATGAAATGGCTCTGGGAGGATATAAATATTGGTAACAGGCCAGCCATGATGGTTCACACCTGTAATTTAGCACTTTGGGAGCACTTTGAAGCCAAGAGTTTGAGACCAGCCTGAGCAATACAGCAAGATCATGTCTTTACAAAAAAAATTTAAAAATTAGCCAGGTGTCAAGGTATATGCCTGTAGTCCGAGCTACTTGGGAGGTTGAGAAAGAATCACCTGAGCCCAGGAGCTCCAGGCTGCAGTGAACTATGATCAATCACACCACTACCTACAAGCTTGGGCAACAGATCAAGACCTTTTTTTCTTAAAAAATATAAAAATAAATAAATATTAGTAACAGTGAAAGAGAAAGGAAATGGACATTAGAAGTAATGGATGAAAGAGACATTTTTCAATGTAAAACCCAAATAAACTGAGTTTTTTAAACAAGATGTATTTTTTTCTATTTTAAAAATTAAAACTAATAAAAATTAACATCACAAAAAATGCACTCTATGTACAAAGGCATAAGGAAGATAGAAAAATTTCTATAAAGCCACCAGTCAGAAATAATCACTATTAAAACTTTGGCATCTACCAGTCCAGTTTTCTTAAGTATACTTACACTTATACAAGTATGTACACAAGAGAGCATTCTTCTTTCCCAACAAGCAATAACAAGCTTATACATAGTATTGACTTAACAATATTGCAGGCATTAGTCTTTATCAATATAGATGTGCAACATAATTTTTAGACATCAATAAGGCTAACCAATTTACACTTCCACTGGAAGTGTACAAGAGTGCTTATTTTCCCACATTCTTACCTACACCCTTAATGTTAATGGATACTATGCATTAATTTTTAAAATCTTTGCTACTGGGGTAAAATGATGTTCTACTTATGACAATGTGCATGTTTTGATTCCTAATCAGGTTAAATATTTTTCTGTTTATTGATAATTTTCATTTTTTTGTTTTCTTTTTTTAAATTTCAGATTAATATTGAGGATACAAATGTTTAGGTTGTTATCTTGTTTTCAATGCTAAGGTAAAATTCAAGTTGTAGCTGAGCTGTTCACCCAGGAGGCATGCTGAACACTCACACTTTTTTTTCTTTTACTAATTCTCTGTTCATGTCCTTTGATAATTTTCCCATTCTGATGTTTAACTCCTTACTTACAAGTTATTATTTAAGATTAATAATTTGCCATATGTGTTAAAAATTTTAATTTCCAGAAGGCTATCATTTGACATTTTATGAATTCTGCTGTTGCCATTTACATATCCAGAATTATAATACATTCAATTATCATAAAATCTTAGGAGCTTGAGTCAGGAAGGACCCCTTTTTTGATTAAAAGAAACCAG